GGACTCAAATCATTTGCAACAAATCTTTGCCAAATGAGTACCAAAGGAATGGTCAAGGGATGGTCACAACTCCTCCAGAATTAGTCATTTGCTGTACACGTGTCGCCAAAACTGAGATTTCTCCCTGTGTGTTTTCTCACATTGGACCGCAAAGCTGTTTTTGTGTTTCCCCGTATCTGTGGACCATAATTAATCTTCACAGTATTTGCAAATATGGTAAATAGTGAAACTAATTAACATCCCTCAGCCATTAATCAAAAACTTTCAGTACTCGCGCGGGCAAATGGATACATGAGAAGAGAAAATGGAAGGTACAAAGGGCTAAAACGCCGGGATTACTGAGGCATTTTGAACAGAAAGGGAATTACGGATGCATTCAGTGATGGAATACAACTCACCTTTCAGAGGGATGATAGCCGGCATTGAGAGGAATCTGCGTAATGCAGTCATTTATGCACGCTCACATTTATGACCTGTCGTATTTGTGCTCTCGTGAACAGCTGCGATGTTAAATGCACCAAAGCGCTGGTTTTAATCTCCGAATAAAAACACAAAGAAATACGCCGGTGAAAGACTCAACGATTGCCGTTGCAAAGACACACGGGCTTGTTTCCTTTCTCCTTTCCGTCTCTGAAACTCCCGCCAGCCGCTGCAGGTCCGGACACAGAGGTCATACATAGATAAGTCTGAGGTGCGCTGCTGCTGCCGACGCCCGGGTCAGGAGATACAATCTACAAGGCCATCAGTGAAAACGCACAATCTCATTCCTCAGGTGCACTTCCATCTCTCCTCACCTCCCCGCCAGATTCTTCCTCGTGTCCTGCAGCTTCAGGAATATTAAATATGCATGCCGTCTTACTGCAGATGTGCCGTTATTGATTTTGTGTCCATCCCCGGGCCTACCTAACTCAATTTGGTATCAGTGATGGCTAAATGAGACTTGGCTAAGCCACAGAGGCCAGCGTGGAATGAGAGATGAAGGGATGACAGGTTTGCCGTTCTTGTTATCATCACTTCTGCACGAAGGGCAATATTTAACAGGACATAACAAAGATGCCGAGGATTTATGTCAGCCCGCTCTCTGTCTCTGCCTAAGTGTTTAGAAAAGGGCCGTTACTCCAGTTGTTGCATAGACAGAATGTTCTTAATGGCATTGATGAGAAAATTATTCCAAGTTTCTGCAAATGTTACATAAATCAACAAGAAGAATTGAGGGTTTTCAGCTTGTTTGTTTTAGTAGTCCAGGCCAGTGGATGTCAAAGTGTAGAGCTAGTGTGAGTGTGGGGGGCAGGGGAGGGACAGCAGGGTAAATTCATTCTGCATATGTGGGCGGGGCTTGGCAGTAGTCCTATCTGCAAAAGCTATCACCTGAACCTTGGTTTTGGTTATCGATATGTTCGCAGAGATATTCTTTTACAGCTTTACAGCGTAGACCAGGGCTGTCAAATTCATTTTGGTTCACGGCCGCATACAACCTAATTAGACATTAAGTGGCCCGGACCTTTGTTTTCATGCAAAGAAGTAGAAGTATATTAGATATTTATTACATAATTATTTATTATTATATATAATATATTTATATTTAATGAAAAATAATTTTACGCAAAATATCCTGAATATGAAGTGTTTTTTTTTTAATTTTCAGAATTCATGAAACAGGCTGGATTGAACACCCTAGCGGGCCGATTTTGGCCTGCGGGCCGTATGTTTGACACCCCTGGTGTAAATGTATGCAGCGCAAACTGTTTATTTGTCAGCTCCTCCTGAAACCTGGTTGCACGTGTGGGCGGACGTGCAGCGAGCGAGCTCTCGGTCTGACCGACACTGGTCAAAAGGCTCAACTGGCAAATTATAGCTGTCAGTCAACGGCGTGTAAAACAGCGTATCCCAGAAACCGTGTTACTGTCTTGATCTCCTCGACCCTCCATGTTCATCTTGACGATAGTCACACCGAGTCTTTTTGAATCTTTAACGCCGAAAGAAGATTAAACGAATCGTAACCTCATCGCTCCGGAAAAAACGTTGACTTAAGTTACATTTTCTTCAACGTTACAACATTCATCATCTCTGATTCTGCTTTAAGTACTAATACATCACCCTACGGTGCTGCGTGGCCTCACCAGAGTCTGCCATGAGCTTAATGCATTTAAAGCTTCAGTCAAGCTGAGCTCCTTCAGCTCAGTGTGAGAGAGAGAGAGAGCTCCATTTTAAATATGAACAGAGTCTGCCGGGTACTGGATCCAGTGTCATTGTCCTGCTCAACCGCAGCTTTATTCCCCTCCTCCTGGATTAAATTATTGCTCCTAATTGTAGCTAAGCTAAGAATTAAATATACATTTAACAATATTTCCTTTTTTTATTTAGAAAAAAAAGGTTTAAATTGGATGCACTTCCTCTGCAAGTTTATCTGCGTCTGTAAAGGCGAAGTAAGACGTGCCAAATAACCTTAAGCTCAGAGGAAGCAACAGCAAATTGGATGTGCAATTTGTGCAAACATGCGAGCGGTTTGACGTTATAGGAGGCAGCGTAGAAACGGCCGAGTACTGTAGTGCAGTTAACTGCATTGTGTTGCTGCATTGTGATTCACTATAGGCTCTGACAGAAGGGCTCTGGTTCTTTTTCTTTTTTTCCTTTTTTTGCCACATCACTGACAAGTTCCCTCCTTCCCCACAGGGGCCTGTCCCTACCAGACACACAGGCATATATTAAACAGCTCAACAGTGCCTCCACGTGGCAGACAACAGCCATTACGCTGCTCTGCGTGCCACGAGGTTAACAGCTCCACATTCCAGCCGTCAGGGCAACACGAGGCGAACGCATTGCTGATGCAGGTGCCAGGGTGGGGGTTAAGGAAGCGGGCGTCATGTCACCTCGGAGCCTGGCTGCTGGCCAAGGCCTTTTGATGAGCTGAAATCAAATCAATAATTTGTTCATTAGTCTCCAGGAAATCTACGACTAATCAGCAAGCTAAAGAAAATCAACACACGGCACAGCGTTATTGTGCCTAATCTCTTTCTCCATGCATAATAACCTTTTTTTTTTTTTTTTACCTATTGTCCCTTAAGCACCTACCTGTCGATATCTGACGGCCAATCAGATTGCTGTGCATTACAATCTGTTTTTTTTTTTTTACTTTTAGTAAAAGTGTAGATATCTGACCCTAAAATCTTCATCTTTCCTGTCGTCTTTTTTCCACTGTGGCATTCACCACTGCATAATTAGCTGCAGCGCTATTCAATTTCCTTCATTCCAGACTTTTTGTTTTTAAATCAATATCGCTCAGGTCGTCCACTAAATGGTTGTGCTCTTAGGGCGGAGTTTGATCAGCTGAAGGGTGAGTATCAATCACTGGGCTAACAGAATTCATTGATGTTTTTTGGTGCAGATTATAGTGTCTATGGGGTGTCAAACATACGGCTCACAGGCCAGAATCGGCCCGCTAGGGTGTTCAATTTGGCCCGTTTGATGAATTTTTAAAATAAAAATGAAATAAACGAACACTTCATGTTCATATTTTGTAAAATGTAAAATGATATTTCAATAAATATACATTGTTATACATTGTCATAATAAATATTTAATATACTTCTTTGTATGAAAACTAAGAGGAATAAGACTTATTGTTAATTAGCGGTAATTATGTTACGATTGTACTTGTCCGGCCCACTTGATGAGGTTGTATGCGGCCCAAAATGAGTTTGACATCCCTGCTCTATATGGTATGCATATGGTCTGTACTAATGTGTACTGGACAGGTTAAATCCAATGGACGAATTTTGTGTGTGTGTAACATACGCGTGGCAGGAACTGTAACTCACAATTGTACTTTTCTAATTCAAATTTCCATTAAAAGTACTGTTAGCATAAGCTACATTTTTATTTGATGACATAATGATATTCTCGTTTTGCTTGATGTTAATTTTTTATTCATATTAATGAGGAAAAAGTCTGCTGCGGTCGGTTCAATTTCTTCATGTCTGGTTAAAGCAGGGTCACTACTAGACTGATCTGTAAATGTTCATTCAGTTTGACAACTTAGACCGGGTGCTAAATTTTGGCTTCAACTGATCAATTTTTACTTTCCTCTACTAAACGTAACATCATCCAGTTCGGATCGCACAGGCTTCTTAATTAGGATGAACAAAAAAAAAACATTAGTTCTGAACTCCGTCAGACCACTGCCAACCAACGCTGTAGCAAAACACAGAGCAGTTGGCAGTACCGTAGCACTCAATGAGATATGAGTACGCCCAAAGGGCTGCATATAGTCAGATCAATGCCCTTCCATTGAACTGAGCTTACAGAATGGAAGTCAGTTAATCGCAGGCCCAGACTGGTTTCATCTGTGAGAGTAATTAGATGTGGCATCGACTCCAAAGCTCATTTGAGACAGGTTATTAATGTCTGGGATGGAATGTCAGGGGACACCGGAGTGCAGGCAGATCACAGGGAGGATAGGATATGTCTGTATGGAGCGACTGAGCGGCAGATATCATGGACAACCCGAAAGACAAGCGTAGCTTCTCATTTAGCACAGCGCTAACTGAACATCAGCTGGATTATGTCAACATTCGAGGCACTACAGTGGTTCGTGGTTCGTCCTGTCATCCACCAGGTTGGAGACAACAATGGAGGCCGTGCAACTATTTGCAACAGATCAACAAGTGAACAAAGTCAGTGATAAATTTAACTACCAAACAACTAACAAATATGCACGACCATTCTTTGCACTCAACGTCCTTCTGGAACCTCCTCTTGTTCTGGGTCCGACTGTGGTCGCATGTCCTATTGGTCTACCATACTTGTCAGAGTATCATACGCTACCTGTGTTTTACCAGCAACACATATTTTTAGGATTTAAAGGTAAGGAAACAGAAATAGAAAAGAAATCCAGATGTGCTGTTTTGTTTTTGTTTTGTTTGTTTGACCAAAGCATTGGCCAAACACAAAGTAAAAAGAAAAATAGTTCCCGTCATCTATAAAGAAAAGTCAATTTCCTGTTTTGTTTCTCAGTCACATTCTTATTAGACACAGAAAATCTTAACCAGAGCAGATGTTACAAAATATCAGCTGGGGACCACAAGAACACAGCATGGACATCAGTCTGAAAGACGCACTCCACTCCACCCCAGGAATAACAACAACAACAGCAAACATTCTTCGTCAGGCAAATACAGTAGACACAGTAGAAATGGCAGCGTTCTAGCTATTTATACAGAAAAACAAAGATACCAGCTGTATGGAGATTTGTTTAGTTTTTTTTCCAATTACAAACCAGCACTAAACATAATGACAATCCATGTTTCTGCACACTGACGCCAACAAATCTAATGTTTCTTTAGGCTGCAATTAAAGACCTGGATGACGACTTGGCATGCAATGTTGGAAATTAGAAAATCATCAGTAACAGAGAAATCTGGCCGGAGCATTGAAGGCATAAAGAGAGGCATGCAGCATAGAATACAAAATAACTGTAAAATACAACTCACATCAATACAGATTGTCACCGTTTTGTTTTGTTTTTTTTGTTTTTTTTTGTTCATAGGCTTTCTTAAAGAGGCCGAGGTTTTAATTTTGATTCCGGGAGCAATGTCTCCGTTGATGATTAATCCATAAGACTGGTTTGAAATATGTCGTCGTTGTTATAAAATATCTACAAACAGCAAATCATGTTAAAAGAAACACATTTCAGAAACAGTGTTTTTTTTTTTCTTAAAGAGTGCTAATTTTAAATAAAACAGTGGATAAACGTATAGTATTTTAACCGACACTTCTCACTCCCAGATTAATCTTCATGCAGCAGCGGCGAGTCAGTGTCTCTGCTACGTTCACAGCAGCATTGCAAAGAGGATGAATCTTCACTTCACTGATACGCAGCATACTGAACATTGAAAGCACCACGACAGCAATAACTACAGGACAGCCAGCAATAGTCTGGAACAATGAGACGGAAGATGACATTAATCTAAGTCCAGCCGGGTGTCAGCCGTCTACCGCAGTCACTTCAGCCGCGTTCTGTGTTTGCCAGAGTGACTGCTTTTGTCGTAGTGCTTCAGACAGGCACCATAAATCAACACTTTACTTGTTTTGTTTTTTGTTTTTTTTTCATAGGATGTCAAAGCGCAGTATTGAAATGTATTTACAAAAGTTGGATGGTGGAACCTAAAGAGCAGAGATACTCACGGATGGAAAAACAAAGCATCAGTGAGAGGCACATTTACATTCTTTGTGTTAAAACAGCACCTCTATTCAATTAAAGAAAAAGTTTTTTTTTAAAAAATCTAGTTTCCAGCATAGTTTGCTAAACTGACAGACTCAATTTTACACACAAACAAAATGCTATATTCAGGATTTTTTAAAGTATACACACACACGCACGCACACACACATATATATATATATATTCTTTCCATATGTACATACATGTCTGGAATGATATAGACTGAAATGGCAAATTTTGAATCACAAAGGCTTCCACACACACAGAGAGTGTTGAGCTGTGAGCCGCCTTTGCAGAGTGTGTCCACTGTGTGGCAGCATGTGCAGTAGGTATCTGTGGTTTTTTTGTTTTATGTTTTTTGTGTTGGTACAGTGCAATTTCTCCTGAATGTGGAGGGGCAGTGGAACTCACACACTGCTGCTAATTCTGTGTTTGGCTCCATAAGAGCTGCTCATGTACCCTCCTGCTGACCAGAGGGGGGAGGACGGCTTTGAAATACGGAAGGAGCTGGAGACCGTCTCTAGTCTCCCAGTCCAAACCTGACTTTCAGTCAAGGCTCCTGCAAGAATATGGTCATACAGTGAGTAACACATTCAGTGCAAGTTTTTAACATGAAAACATACTATACATATGTACGTATACAGTATATATGTACATATACAGTATATATGTACATATATAGTATGTATAAACATACTATATATGTACATGTGTGTATATGTGTGTATATATATACACATTTTAAAAAAATAGATATAAATATGAATATACAGTATATACACATATACTTATATATGTGTGCATATATACACATCTGTATACACACACATAACTATATACGTGTCTATATAGTCTATATATGTACACATCTTTATATGTGTGTATATATACACACATATATATACATGAGGTAACAAAAACCATTTAACTAAATATAAAATATATTATGATAATAAAAATTAGCAGTGTGAATATTAAACATATTAAATAGAAAACAAATATAATAAACATATTAAATAAAAAAGAACAAGACTTAATTCCTCAATTGTATCCGTTATCTCAGACCAATGTTTTTTTCCCTTCTTCCTGTTTACAGCCTGTAAATATTAGTCATTCGGAGGAAGTGTCTTTAACTGGATGTTTTGGAAACAAAATCTCTTAAAACCCACGTTCTAAAATGTTCACTTTACACAGAAGTACTTGAGACTTTTACACTTACTGTTATGTAGAAAACAAGTTGATTAAGGATGCTCTGAGAATAAAATGTTAATTCAACAAAAATAAGCCAAAAGCGCTGATGTCTCTCTCACCTAGTTATAGGTGGACGTCGAACACCCCCTCTTCCACTCCCTCTAATTCCTCCTCGGCGATGACTGTCGGACCCACGGAAAGGTGAGCGCACACAGAGAAGGGATAGATTTATCACACAGATGGAAATGCAAATGAGTCAGACAGGAGCCAATGAAATGCGTGGCCTCTGTCTGTTTACCAGCAGCCTGGCATGACAGTCTGCTCCACTGATGCAGCGAGTTCACGCACTGATGGGAAACAGTCAGACGGAGCAGCGTTTCGACTAATATCTGATGAAAACACTGCAGAGCCGAGACAGTGGCCTGTGTGATGGACCAATCGCATTTCCAATGCAAATGACACAACTGTTTGAAAATACCTGCGGAAAATGTCAGCGTGACATCACATGGAGGTGCAGGCCACGTAGTGGCAGCGAGAGTAAAAGTACAGACAAAACACGAAGTACACATAAAAAGGATATCTGTAATCATATATTAAAATATATATATACTGAGTGAAGTAATAAATGTAATAAAATGTCTTTATAACTGAAGGAAAAATATTTCAAGGATTTTAAGAAAACAAAATCCATATTTAAAGCAGTGAGATGTTCTGTCTTTGCTCTCACTTACAAAAATAAAATAAAAATTAAACAGAAACATTTGCCTCACCTGGGCTACAGGGTTAAAAAAAAAGTATTTGTCTACAGATCACTAAGTCTCCCCTGTTCTTTTCAACTACGGTTGGGGCGCTGAAGCAGGACAGAGCTAACGTGTAACCAGCCGTGTTACAGGCACTGTTTGAAAAAAAAATTATTTAATTTAAAGTGAAAAAAAAATCACAAAGTCTGTGTGAAAATCCCATGTTACAACGTGGACACCTGCAGCTTATAGAGAAGTGTGGCCTATATATGTACAATCATTTTTTTTCTTTTTTAATTTAGTGGGTGCGACTTATATTCGGGTGCGCTCAATAGTCCGGAAAGTATAATAACTATTAGCCTTGGTATGAAGGTTTTTCCCTGGAAATAAATTCCAGCAGTTTGTTGTTTGTTGTGTGTCTGACTCTAGGGATTCCACTCACCTGTGTTCTGTAGGTTGGGTGGGCTGTTGGCAGGTGGAGGGAAGCTGTAGGAGCGAGACTGGAGACCTGGTGGAGACTCGTGACTGATGCTCTTCGTCCTCTTGCGACACTCCACGGCCAGGCGGCTCCTGCAGGCCTTGTGACAGTTCACGCCACACGCTGCTCACGGGGGAGATCGGAGTGAGAGACAGAAGAAGACGCAAGGTCAAAGGTCAGCAGAGGGGTGGTGTAGGAGGAGAACAGGAAAGTGTTTTTCAACAACTCAACTTGCAGCCACAAAAGTACTGACACCTACACACACAAGGTGAGTCTGACTGCTCCCCGATAACAACTCTGTCAACCAGGAATAGTCTTGGAGCAGAGGTGTGACGGGCCAGGCAGCAGCACACTGAAGACTGTCTGAGAGTATAAAGGAAATAATAATCCCACTCTGTTGGCTGTTGTCCTTCACACTTTATTATTTTGTAATTTTTAGCAAAGCAGCGTCGAGGATTAGGACTTTATCTCATTACCACCTCTTCACAGTCTAACAGGCTTTTTAAGGAGGAAAAACCTGATTCTCCTTCAGTCAGACACTGTAACAAGATCACCCCCCCTGCAGGTCAAGTGCCCACCTTCTGTCATGACAAATCCTATTTTTATAAGTGGATTGTTTTATGGTATGTTCTAACGTGCTGTCGCTCTCTCCTCACAGCACGGCTGTTCATTAACCGCTTTTTAAATTCCTTTTATCAATTATAAAAAAAAAAAATCTATGTTCATCTTTGCACAGTCACGTATTCAACATGCAGGTGATTTATTTTAATAATGTCACTCTGCTGTCTGTCACGCTCTGCCTAAGTACAGGCTAACGATGGTAAGGAGGATGAATCGGGGTCTTTCATCGACTTCCTCCGGACTCATTATGTAGTCTAACAAGTCGCACCAGTCGCGCACTCGCAATCAGAGTAGTTAGAGAGAAGTGAGAACGAGACTCTGGAAAAGTAGTTGTGTCCAAACTTTGAGGGAAATCTTGCATCAATTTATACAAGAGTTTTACTCGCTTTCTTTTGACACAGCTACGTCTATCCATAGATCCATCTTTCATCTATCATCTATCTATCTTAAGAAGTAATAAGTAGAATAAGTACGCAAGTAGACAAATATTAATGAAGGAATACGGTATAATAGAAGTGTCCAAATAGTACAATTAATGAGCAATGAATGAACAAAAAAAAAGATTAAATATTAAAAATGTTATCATTATTGGCATCTAATTGAGGGCCGGACCTGGGGAGGTTCATGGGCCAAAAAAGGGCCCCAAGTCAGGTCTTTTAGAAGCCAAGTTCTAAGCAAAATTTAAATGAGACAACGAACAACGTAGGAATTGAGAAATGTTTGGTGAAAACTGTGTCTGGTACGAGTAAAAACATTCCACAACTTGTATTCCATTTATTTATCTAAATATATCACTGTATCATCTGTTGACAAGGTGATATTTGTCAACCTTTCTTAAACAGTAAACAGAGTACTACCTGAGAATTTCTTAACCCAAGGTTCCTTGAGTTAAGAAATAACAGAAGACAAAACACAACCTTGAAAAGATTTCGAAAAAAAAAGCTTAAGTCAATGCAGTACCAATGATTCCAACTTACAAACTACAATATTTCACTGACTTTTTTTTTTCAAAGATACATTTTCACAAAAACTTTGCCAGACCATTTTTAATCTGATAAAGATTATTTCAGTCTGTCAAAAAGCTGCAATTAAAATGCCATTCATTAAATACTGTTTCTGTTAATGTGGCCAAGCTGAGCCACTTCATCAGTCACTCCAGCAGATGGAGAAGTTTGCAATTAGCATTGTCGTTCTGGCAGGGCTTTGAAAAGCTGATGCTTCACAGCTGGTTGGGAACGTCTACAGAGAAGGTAGTTAGAGAGCTGGACGTGTACAGATTATTGCTACTTAGCGTCCTAGCATCAGCAGAGGTGGCCACCAACAGCACCAAACTGGGAGGTGGAGAACAGGAAGTGTGAGTGTGTATGGTTCTTTCAACCTATTGACCAATAGAAGGGGATGATGAGTTTGAGGGGGGTTTTTTCAGCTGAATGACATCACTAAATGAGTGTTACAGTCCCAGGTGTCCCAGCCGTCAGCAGGTGGAGCTCTGCCTGTTGATACTACAGTATAAGAGTATGACACACCGCTTCTGTGATGATGAGTACATTGACTTTAGCTCCAGAGACTCTGCTCATGTACACGTGTACAGACAATTAGAATAAATGACTGATGCTTTGAAGAATACATCTGTGTGGAAAGTGCCCCGCTGTGCAGCAGATGGCGCATGACGAGAGTTTTCTTACCTTTACACTTGTAGCCTTGCTTGTAGAAGCCCCATATCTGCAGGCACAAGGGAAGAGATGGTCAGTGTGGGGGCGTGGGAGATCGGGGGGGTTAATTTTAGATAAATGGAGACACTGTATATACACTTCTGTAATCTATAGCAGGGGTCCCCAACCCCTGGAGCGTGGAATGGTGCAGATCTGTTGGTCACTACTTACTAGTTACAAATACAAGGGTTTTTTTAAACTAATTATTAGTTTTAAAAAAACAAACAATTAAAAACAAAAAAAATGACTTTGATGTAAAAGCAATAAAAGAATTTAGACAAATGTGTCTTGTATTGCCACTCGTAGCTAAATTAATACCATTTCGTTTGACATACCTGGAATACTGAGGCAGCAACAGGAAGTGGGAGTAAGTTGAGACTGTGCCGCCTTGGCTGAATTTGGAGTGTTTCAGTTTATAAATCGATTCCTATTTTGGCAACTACACTTTACTGTGAAACATAATCATGAGGTGAGGTGTTGCAAAATATTATACAGTACATAATAAATCATTAGGAATCACCAAAGTGAACTTGCCAAAAGAACACACAGATGACTGTATTAACTGGGATACTTCTGTTAACTCATTGGCTGCCACTGATGTCTATAGAAGTCAGTTGTGTTTTCAATGGAGCAGAGGAACAGATGAACTGAGCCACTAGGGGACAGCAGTGCCACTTTTGATGGGAGATTAGCATAAAGATGGATGTGTGCTGGCAGCCAATGAGTTAAATAAAAAAGTTAAATAAAAACAGACAACCAAAATAAGCCAAGAAAATAGGAAACCAGAATCCTCCAGACACATTTTTGTCATTTTTTTTTATGGTTCTAGTAAGTAACTTAAAACATAATCGGTTTTTACAACTTGAATAACCTCAATTCACCTCAGTCACATTATCAGGCTTTCTCATTCTTTAGATCAGGCATGGGCAAACTAAGGCCCGGGGGCCGGATGTGGCCCATTCAGCTTTTTAATCCTGCCCACCAAACTTTTCCAAATTATATAATTGATCTATATTATCACTATTCTTCTGCATTTTCCCTGCAATACCCACGTTTCCCCAATAAATGGCGTAGAACATGATAAAAACATTTTAGCATTTTAGCCTTTATGCGTGACTTTTACATGTCATTTATCGTAGTTCACATGAACGCTCCACTGATCTCTTCCTGACCCGGCCCCCCTGGTTTAGACAATCGTGGCCCAAACAGTTAGCCCACGCCTGGATTTAGATCATAGGTCAATGGCTAAACTTTACACAAAAAGGCCAGGAAACACTTTTGTTTCCCTGTACTGTTCTTATTTCTCCTGTTTCTGCAGCTTGTGTGATTATATATTATACAGGACTGTATTTGAATTTTAGGCATTTGCTTAGTCAAGAAAGTATTTAACATTTCCTGCTCTAGTGAACCGTGACATGAAACAACCCTGAACCCGGGCGTGCAGTGAAGTGACAGCAGCACAGACAGGTTTTGTATTTTTATAGGAAAAGAAAGGAAAGTCAACTCCTCTGAAATGTGACTTCTGCTTTTAACCCATCACCAAAGTGAACAGTGGGCAGCTTTAAGCGCCTGGGGAGCAGTGTGTGTGGACGCTGCCATGCTCAGAGCACCTCAGTGGTAACTTGGCAGCTGGTGGACTGGAACCTGAAGCCTTCCGGACCCAAGTCCACTTCCTTAACCACTAAGCCACCACTGCCCCATGTATTCATTTCAAACACATCCTGATACAGGCTGGTGATGCCGGAGACACTGAGAAAAGAAAATGTCACAATGAAACAGAGAAAGATGTGAAGGAGAAGCAGAGGGAGAGCGATGGAAGGGAGGGAGGAGCGAGGGGGTGGGGGTCCCAGACATCAAGTGCTGTTTAGTGACCTCACGGACAGTGGGGGAACAATGACATGAAAGCACCAAGCTGGAGATCACACACTGCATTGGCACATCTGAGGAGGGAAACAAAAACATCCTGACCTCTGCATATACACACACATAGGAACACACAAACCTACACGCAAACATGCGGGCACATCCTCCAGTAAATGCACCCCTGTACATAGGAACAGACACTTATATGCATAGTTGGAGTCAGTGACTACTGCCTGAGAAATTCCCATAATAAAAAAAACATGTGTTCACGACTAAAAACAATTGAATTTGTGTTGTATGAAAATGGAAGATAAGCCTAGAAATGGAAGTTCTTTAACTGCAAACAAGAGACAATACCTAAAATAAAACAGGTTGAACAGTGGAGGTACACTTGGCAAAAAAATACATAGCAATAATATTAGAGCAATTTTCGAAATTTCGATGCCATGGTTCGTGCCTACACATGAGTTCATGTTTTTATTGGCAGGATCACATGCTAGTTCAAAGCACAGCGAGCGGCGCAGACTCAGTGCACAGAGCACTGTAAACACAGTTCTACTGTAAAAGGCACTTGGAGAGTAGTAAACACAGTTCAAACCTAATACTGTTACTGCCATTCAGCTTGAGCTCGAAAAAAGGTCACTGAGCTCACAGCATAGTTAGTATAGCACAAAAGCTGCAACCAATCACAGCAGCCACAACCCTAACCCTAGTATTATGTTGGAAAAAACATTACATTGACATGTTACATGTTGCTGTGTAAATCCACTGAAAACAGTCAAAAAAAAAAACAAGAATTATGTACTGCGAATTTACCGTGTATAGAGATATGGCTACGTGAGTCTTTATTAAAGTACCCCCAAAGTACTTTACCTGTATATTTAAATACTTAAATATAAAGCAGCCAAAGTTTATTTTTACTTCACTAGCATACTATAAATTTTAGATTTTCTTTAGACAAAAGAAAGAAAAAAAAAACTGACCTGTGGGCTGACGAACTATGATGCATTATGTAGCTCGATAATAACCATTACACACAGTAAGTACATAAAGTTCGACAAAGCTTTGTGTCTGTACTCTGTGTACTCCGTCTGTACTTTCTGTACTCTGTGTGTCTGTGTGTCTCTGTATGTCTGCTGAAAGATTGGACCTTAAGCTCCTTAAACTACAAAAAGCAGAACCAATAGGAGGCACTGGTGACAAAGTATCTATTTTTTATTAATAGCCACTACGTTTGTTGCTTTTATATTGAAGACATAAACTTGACAGAGCCAGAGAGACTTTCTTCTCCCAAAGTAACATTTTAACTCCTGACATTATAACAGTGACAAACCATAAAAAATTATGAGATTTACTCCTACTTTTTTTTTCCTTATCACCTTTGACAGCGTGCGTGTCTCTCGTGGTGATCTACTCGGAATCTACGTGCAAAACCCTTCACATATTACTTGTGGCATTGTGTTACCCTCATCCGTGTGGCAGTAATTAGCATGGAGGTCAAAGGCTAAACCAGGTATGGCCAAACTTTTTGACTAGTGGGCTAAAATTTCGTCCTAAAATTTGACAGGGGAGCCGGGTCAGGAGCAGATAGACAGAGCGTTATTGCAGGGAACGACAAATGAAATGTAAAAATCATGCATATAGGCTAAAATGCTAAAGTGCTTTTACTGTTCTTTACACCATCTATAGGGAAAACGTGGGCATTGCAGGGAAAAGACAGAAGTATAATCACAATACAAACCAATTATATCATTTGGACAAGTTTGGCGGGCCGCATCCGGCCCCCGGGCCTTAGATTGTCCATGCCTGGGCTAAACTGTGCAAGACTGTGAGGGTCCGTGTGACTCACTGGAGGTGAGTCTCCAGCGCCCCGGCTTGGCTTTGTGCAGTGTATTTGAGACCGAAAATGTGTGAAAAAAATTGTGAAAAATGGACTGCGGGATAATACTGTTATTGCACAGGGAGCCAAGAGGAGAGTGTGGAGTGAGCACATGATGAAGCGGCTGGTGAATTCAGCTTTACTATATACACAGCACAGACAGAAACACTGACACGGTCTTATCTCTCCCTGGGCTCTATGCTGAGTTTCCCTTCATGATGCTCGAGCCTCCCTCTTGGGAACATTATGCATGTGTGCTGGTCTGTGTCCAAAGCTATGCTAATTTGAGTGTCGGTGACTAAGTAAACACCAGCAGTGTGTTCTGCGATCTTTCTATTTTGGGTACTGCAATGCCTTTCCAAGTACAGAGCGATGAATGGGATGTCACTGCGATATCAATAGTTCAATACCATGGTTCTCATTACAGCTGAGCGCTGACTCACCGTCTGGGTCTAAATAACACTCAGTTCCTTTGGGGACTTCAAGGAATGTTAAGGGGCCAGAGGACACCTACACAACCGCAGCACAGCAACAGAGGAGGGTTATCATCCTGCCCAATTACCTTCCTCTCATATTTCCCAGAATGCATCTTCAGCAGTGTGCCGCTGTTGCTCAAAGTAATTGGCATTGCCCTGACCTGGCAGTACGATCCTATGAGGAATGGTGCTATCAGCTGCTCCTGGAGACTGCTGAGACGGATAATGAAGTGCTACAGCATGACAGTGGACTGCAGGTGTGAGCAAAGATGACCTTTCACGTTTCCGAAGAAAATAAAACAGCGGGTCATTAACGGTGTTCAGTGAGGAAATCCAAGCATTAGAATACAGTGGAATCCCGAGATACGAGCGCCTTGAAATACGAGTATTTCGAGATACGAGGAAGCCTTCGAGCAAATGTTTGCTTCGAGATACAAGTAAAGATTTGAGATACGAGAGCGCTTACAGACACCGACACTAGGTGGCCGAGCACTCGGAACAGCCCACGCCGACTCACTCGTTCAATTCGCGTGTTCGTCGACTTCCACACGTATCTCCTGAGTCTTTCGTATTGTTTGCGTTATGCACGTGATTTTTTCTCTATTTTGCTAAAGAAAGAATACAAATCAAAAAAAGTAAAAATAAAAACATAGAAAAGTAAAAAAACAAAGAAACAAAAAAATTAATAGTAAGTTACGTAGTGTACATGTAAGGTATTAATAATAAGTTCATGTAAGTTACGTGTACATAGTTTAGTGTACATGTAAGGTACGGTACAGAATCAAGTGTCTACATCCGGGCCAACTCTCCTCCCTCCTCCTCCTCCTCCTCCTCCATTAGCAGCTACTGTATCGTCTGTCTCGAAGGTAAGAACTCATAATTAAAACCACATTTTATGTTATATCACAGGAATCCTTATATACTATAATTTTTGTGTTTGTCCCTATAGCAATTAAAAACATGTTATTAATTACACTAATAAGGGAGTTTTTTTAGAGGGCCGGATGGGATTCATATTTTTTTCTATTATTTCTTACGGGGAAAAATGATTTGAGATACGAGCACGTCGAGGTACAAGCTCGGTCCTGGAACAGATTATGTACGTATCTCAAGGTTCCACTGTACACACGGGCAAAGATCAATATTTATCCGTGGTCTTTCCAGGTGCCTTGAGGGTTTTGTACATCCTCATACAGCTGACCCAGTTTCGCAATCGTCTACACAGTCACAAAGCAAGAAAAAAAAATCCTGGTCTGTTTAAAATAGAGAAACTGTTAGCATACAAGTGTGAGGTGTTTACTCACAAAGCCGGCACAGTGTTCACAGAACGTGGGCTTGACGTAGGTGGTCTCAGTAAAAGTGTGGATGAAACCCATCTTGCAGTTAAGCAGAGAGCTGGCTTTCATGAAGTAGTCAATCATCTCCTCCCTGCTGATCTTCCCGTCTCTGTGACAGCAAATAAAAGACACAAGAGGGATGGACGTCTTTGCTGCTGGCTACTGTACAGTATTTATATTTGTGTGACATGTTATGGTGGGCCTCACTGATTCTTGTCCAGCTCTCCAAACTTGCTGAGGTAGGGGAAGTTGTTCCTGATTGCTTCAAATTCATCCCTGGAGATGTGGCCATCGCCGTCGCTGTCAAAGTTCTTGAAGACGGACTGGAAATCAAAACAAAGTCAAGAGGAAGTTACTTTAGAAAGTTCTCAGTTCATCCTCTAAAATAGTGAAGCTCAGGAAGACTTTTTTTTTTTAGAAAGATGCACTGGCTCAGATTAGAGAGTAAAAGTTTATCTCTCCCTTGATATACTGTAAATAGGAATTGATTTTTTTTATTTCATCCCTGCTTTTCATCCAGTTCTAATTTTGGTTTATGACTCTTTTATTCTTTTATTATTGGGTTACGGAAATAAGAAATAAGGAGGTGAGGAATACCCAACCACCTCATCTACCTTCTCCACTAGAGGGTGCTAAATCTTAGTAACTGTGCTTCATAAACTTTAATATTTACGCTCGGAAATTACTTCACAAAGTGTGTATCATTTGGCAGTTGTGTAAATATATGTTTGATATATACATAAATAACATAAATCATGTTTGTATTTTATTGTATTTTACCTATTTGTGTGTTGTTTACTGCTGTTTTGGTGCTGTACTGCTGCTGGAGCCTAAATTTCTTTCTATCTAATCAAAAGTTGGAATCTTGTTCTTTTTGTTTTCACCGTAGAAGTTGTTGAGAATGAAAACTAGCATTCAACATATGATTTTAGCCTCAAGTTTACACAGAACACACTGTAGTGTAGTGTAGAGTATATATATACATATATATGTAAATATATATAGATATATTTACATATATATGTATATATATTTACATATGTGTTTAAAAAAAGTTATTTTTAAAAAAGTTAGTTTAAAGTGTATTTGTGTTGTTGTGTTTTTGAAGTCAGGAGTCCACTCACCTCCACCATCTTCTCTATGTGGTTCTTGATGACCGTAGGGTCAGCGTTTGGCTTGACAGACACGGCCCACTCGTCAATCATTGTAGGTTTGGGATCAGGTGTCGGGCTTGGACTGGAGTTTTGCTACAGACAAAACCGAAAGGAGTGAGGTCAGAAAGAAAAAAACAAAACAAACTGGCAGCGGCTAATCAAATCAGGGGTCAAAGGTTATACCAGTGGGATTCAAATGTCATGAGAGAATGAAGATAAAGATTTCCAATAGGATCCTCCATTTAACGTTTATGTGCATTTGTAACATCATTAGCTTGGTTAGAGGACAAGTCAAATGGGACAAATATGGTGTGAAAAGCCACATTTAAACCAATCAGACGTAAATGTTAGATTACAACAGGTGTAGGGTAAATTAGCAGCCACATAAAATAAGGATGTCCCAATAACTGACACATGTATGAGTATGTTCATTTGTGTTCTCAAGTACTGTAACTTTTTGTACTATTTTAAATAATAATTCTTCAAACTGACATTGATCACATTAGACAACATATCAACACGACTGAAGAAAACACATTTAATATAATACTGGAAAAAATTAAATAGAAAAATAAAAACATATACATGATAAAATAGGTAGATAAAAATAAGAACAATAAATAGAGTAAACTTTCTGCATAGTTTGGACTGGCTGTCCACAGCCGGAAAGTGAGCAGAGCTTACAGCATTGACGCATTTCAATGGAAAATAAAAATGAAACTGTCTCCTGCATTGGCCCCAAAATAAACTGTTAAAACAGCACAGTGGTTGATGAGGTTTTATCATCTCATCAACCACTGTGCCGGTAACCGGAAAAGACATGTGTATTGAGGTGTTTTTATTAAATCCTTAGTCATCTGTTGGTATGGTAACAAAACAAATCTTAGTAGGCCATGTTCGTGTCTTTCTCTCTGATAAAAAAAACTCCTAAGACAAAGAGAATCTATCCATCCATCCATCTATCCATCTATCATCTATCTATCGATCCATCCATCTATCATCTATCTATCGATCCATCCATCTATCATCTATCTATCTATCCATCCATCTATCTATCTATCTATCTATCTATCCATCTATCCATCCATCCATCCATCCATCCTTCTATCTATCTATCTATCCATCCATCTATCCATCCATCCATCTATCTATCCATCTATCCATCCATCTGCTCACCACTGGTTTCCGTGGTTCTCTCTGCAGTGACATCTGGTAGATCTCCTCCTCTGTGTGATACTGGTCCAGAGAAACCTGCACAGAGGAATAACTTCAGTTGCCGTTCCATCTGTTTCAGATGGAGGAAATGAAATGTAAACAGAAGGAACTGCAGGCGAGAACGTTCAAAGAAAAGATTTAGCTGCTACAGACAAAGAAACACAAAGGATCACGTCTGCTGTCTACAGAACGACAAGATGAGATAACAGTCAGGTGATAAACTGAAGAAAGGTGCTGCATCACAGTGACTCGGTCCACAAAGACTAAACAAAGGACAATTAGACACAAGGGAAGGACTCAAGAGTTGGCCGGAAAGAGAAAAGGATGACTAAATTTAGAGGAAGCAGACTGGATGGTGTAAACAGCCTGAAGTAATGGATGACTAACACCTGTTGCAGTTTGTAATGATTAGAATTTCCTATTCTCTGGCTGCTCCCAAATCTAATCTCGAATCTATTACACATGAACACATTATGGAAGCTATTTTAGCACTTTTCATGACGATTGCAAGTCTGTGTCATTCAAAGAAGCGTAATCAAATTGTAGAGTCGCCTGATCATTGTTGGGTCTTTCGCAAAAAATCCAAATTATTCATCAATAAAATATTGTTTTTTCAGAAGGCTGCAGTAAAAGTTCTTCCTTGTAAATTGCTCACTAGCCAAAAATGGAATGACAGAAAGTTTAAGAATCAGGGTTAACAACTGAAGATCATTAATTATACAGCATTTGAAAAAACTAAGTACGGTATGACAAGAACAAAATTTTCTTTAATATCAAAATAATATTTGAAAAAACAACAAAATTTTCTTTAATATCAAAATAAAATATTGAAGAAAAAAAAGATTTTCTACGAAAAGCTCATCAACACTGCCTTCAACCTGAAAGCACATGTTAACAAAGGTAATTTATTTTGTTTGTCTTTTAAATTAGTGATTCCCAATTATGTTATCTTTCTTCAATTCCTGATAGTATATCAAGGTGGTGTTCAACCAAACCAGCTCAGGTTTCCCATGAAGAAAGTCATTTGTGAATAAATTGAAACTAGAAGAACCTTGCAATCTTAATAATAATAATAATCTTAATCTAATTTAATATAAGTGCTGTGGCTCCAAAAAGGGTCTGGAGACACTGTTGCAGATGGACGAAAATGTGCAGAAGTTCAATTTCCAATAGGTTTGCTATAAGTTTCACTAAAAGGTTTTGAATTATTTCCTTGTGCATTTTAAAAAAAACAAACCTTGAATTAACACACGTCAGTTTAGGTGAGCCACCCTGCTCATTGTCGGCGTAGTTAAGTCATGTATGGAGTTTTTGTTGTTGACACAGCCACTATGGCAACTGTCGAGAGAGCGGCACTTATTTTTTGCTCCAGTGAGCTCATGACAGTGACTGCTGTGTGCAATCAACAGCATCCACTGCAGGCAAAAATGTTCTTTTATCCTTATGACATCTCCACGGCGACACTAGGATGAAGATGCCAAACAAAGCAAAGCTTTTCTCTTCACTAGGACTTTTAAAAAAGTCAGTAACTCAGCAGCCTCAGACACAGGTATTCCCTTTAGTTTCTCTTGTTAATTTTGTGAACAGCCAAACAGCGCCCCAGCCAGATAAACTGCAATAAGCACTCGCATAAGATAATTGAGTATTGACTGTGCCCAGCATTCATCAGCGGCGGCCCTAAGCTCCGGAAGCTGTCAGGTTGTTTTCTCTTATTCTCACAGACCAGCCACAGACAAACACCTGTAGCCACGCAGTAGCTAATCCTCGGAGGACCGCTTAAATCCCGAACCGATCAAATTCATCGAGCTCGTATTTGCATTGGCTGAAAAATTATTGATGTTGCTGCACTTCGCCAGTCTCCACACAAAGGTGACCACTGTTGAAGTTGTTGAATAGAAGAGATAAATGTATTTAAAGCTGAATATGGGCTTATCTTGAATTCAGTTTTGCTTTTCACACCTTATTAAAATTGTAATGTAAACTTACACGAATTTTCAATTATCAATGTGACACATAATTGCAGCAGAAAAATATATGAGAGACTGTAATTTTTTTTAATGTATGTATTTAATATAATATACAGTATATATATATGCATACTAAGTATAGGTTATGTATAATCTGGAATTTTTATAGGATGGCGTATTGCAAGAAAAGGTTGGTTTTTCAAAGGTTCCTATATATATATATATACATATATACACATATATACATATGTAAAATATAATATAGTAAGTTAGAAGATGTAGTAAAATAAGAGGTAGTAGAAGTATTCACATATTACTTATTTTGACTCCTTTTCGAATAGCTTAAATAATTCATTGTTGCCATGTAAGCCTTTTGCTTTTCTTTTTGTTGTTTGTTTATAGAATTACAATAACCATCGTCTGTTTTTATTGCTTTATTGGTTACTATTTCATTATCATTATCTACTGCTTGTTTCATTTTGGGGTCACGTGGGCCACTGGAAACGGTCTATCGGCTATCTACGGGCGAGGGAGCGGTACACTCTGGACAGTTCGCCTGTTCATGACAGATAGAGATAGAGATAGAGATAGTCACACTCGTACTCGTACCTATGGTCTTTGGGCTGTAGGAGGGAGCACACACAGGGAGAACATTCACACTCCATACAAGTGATCTTCTTGTTGTTGTAGTTTGTTCTACCAACATTTGCCACCATGCGACCGATGCTTATTATTTATTTTGTAAATGATTCGATTTTTATGTTTCAATCTTTTCTGTTATGTAGCTGCCTCAAAGGGTGGGTTTCTCTCACTTTGAATTGTCATTATTGCATTACCTTGAAAGTTTTTGTAGCCAACACTGAATGTTTCAGATTGTTTGGCTTCAACATAGTGTTACATTTTTTTTCTTCTTCTACTGTACTGTTTACCTCTTTCTCACAGTACTCAACAGTCTGTCTGGCTACGAGCCAGTTTAACCACAGCAGAACAAAGAAGGTCTAACAGTCCCAGTTGTTTTCTTCTCACTCACCTAGTGTCTGATTATAGTTTCCCTCCTAGTACATGCAGTTCTTATATCTTTAAAGAGTACATCTTTAATTGGGCCAAATATTCAGCTCGGACTCTGTACACCGCGAATTAATTTTAATATTCAGCTCGGACTCCGCACACACACACGCACACACACACACATTCCTCCTTGTCTCTGCACGCACCGTCAGCAGGTTGAGCAGGTCCATGTTGGCGTCAGTGTTCGGAGGCGTGGCCTGGATGAGGGCCAGCTCTTGAAGGATGGCGTACAGCTGCTGCGTCTTAGCCAAGTTGACCCTGGTCTTTTCTTTGTCCACCCAATCTGGCAGCGCCACATGGACAGCTATCAGGTCTTTGAGGTGCACGCCAAGGATGGGGAAACGGAAGCCGGAGCACTCCGAGAAACGTTTGCGGTATTGGCTGTAGTTCCCGCATGATGTCACCAGTTCAATGAGGCTGTTGAAAACCTGCATTTGAGCAGTTGCAGGGATGAGATTAGTTGTAGATACCAGGACAGGCCTCAGAAATAGAGCAAGAGTTGGCAATAAAGCCAGAGTTGCTAGAAAATATCAAAAACATTCTAGAGAATTTTACCAACAGATGGACTTACATAACAGAACTTACTGCAACTCTTCCAACTGTTGCTTTTAACTTTTGTCATACGGCTTAAAAAAAACGTAGCAGTTAAGTGCTACTGTGTAGGAGTGAAGAAACAAAAGAGAAGGTTGTGTTCACATTTACACGTAATTTTTTTACATTTTTGTCGAAGTGTGAGAGCGAGAGCAGCGGCGACAGTTTGAGAGAACGACAACAACTCGAGTTCACCTTGTTGGTCACTGCACTGACGTGGGCCTGTGTGTCCTTCAGGCGTGAGATGGAGCTGTTACTGAGGCCACCCACCACCGCCATCAGTGTGTTGAAGTTTTGCAACTGGAGCAGCTTCTGTCAATGGAGAACAGAAACAGATTTGATCAGAATAGAAGTGAGCAAACAAACGTCCGGGGCTGTCAGAATTAGCATGTTCCTCTGCAGGAAAACATTTTTCTTTCACAGATATATCTCAAGCTTAAAATACCACGTCTTGGTGACACTCTTAGCCAGCAGGGCGGTAAATAATAATCAAGTAAGTCTTATTATTGAAAATCGGATAGACAAAACGATTGCAAGGAACTGTGGACTCACTACTGGATACTCTTAACCATTGTTTCCCAAAGACTGGGGTGCGACCCTCAGGGGGGTCACAAGAGATTTCTTTTTGGGTCGTCACGCATCATGTTTCCCAGGAGTTTACGAATAATGTCTATTGACTTGGGACACGAAGGTGACTTTTAAAATATGGGTACCCAGAAAAAAAAAGTTTGGGAAACACTGCGCTAAACCTTGGGGTCACTTAAAATTAAATAAAAATCGCATTTTTGTCTAAAAGTATTATTTGATGGTTTTTTTTTAATCTGACAGGCCAGTTTAGAAGGTATACCAGATTAGGCCTGCGGGCCATCAGTTGATGATCACTGCTCTAGACTGACCATAGGTATGAGTATTAATGTGAATGGTTGATTGGCCTGCCAACAAACCCTGCGGGCTGTAAATCAACGAGGCTCGATAACCACTCGGATTGCCTTCAAGGATTAAACGGTAGAACTTAAAAAAATGCATTTGCGCAATACAACTGCTATTTAAATTGCTTGAATGACATGCTAATCATTGATAACTAGGAATTCATTGTCAGTTGACTTCAAAACATTTACAAGGTCTGAAAAGCACATCAATGAAAACAAGTGATGGAAAAGGGACTCCAAGCTGTTCAACTTCCCTGTGAGCTGAATGAACTGAACATGAAAACAGTAAAATATTGACCGTCCCGTACCCTGTCAATAATGACGTACCCAGCTCTAACACTCTTTGAATGACACTGCAGGGCATCATGCTGCCCTTCAGCTCACTCTGCATTTCAGTGAAAAATCAATGGAGCCATAGCTGCTGTGTGTGGGAGTGCAGCCAGAGAGGATCATTGGATATAACTCACACACTCCTTTTTTAATCAATTGGGAAAACAATAAAGGATTTTGTAGAGCAGGGTTTTTGGCACTGGCTGCTCAAACACCTCATGCTGTTGATTGTCATCACACAGCTGGTGATGTTTTTTGGGGGTTCAGATTGAACAGACTTATTTTAAGACACACATTGATCTGATTATAAGCTGCATATTATATATGCTGATTATATAGCCTGCATATTTCAGCACTTAATATTGACCATAAGTGCTTGTATTGAAGTGAATAAAGTAACAGTAGGTTAGAAGTTATTGGTGACACTGGAAATGAAGGGGAGGTTTTTGGCATGAGCACAAATTATGTTCCTACAAGATTTATGATATGCTACATCTAAAGACTGAGGTATTATAAACTGGTTGGTGTCATGTGTCTGTCTGCATAGGTGACCAAGAACCAAGTGGCGCTGCAGTAGCAATAGTGTGTTAGCAATACTAAAGCACTGGGAGAATGGGGGACTAGTAATTGGGCGAAGACCCCATGAAAATATTATAGTACATACTATTATGTGAAGACCCACCATTGTGCTAAATAATACTGTGTACAAAGGACCAGTCAGCTGGTATCAGCTATTACTGCGAACCGGTAATACCACACCTATCGTTAAAGGATCATTACATTTTCAAAATAAAACATCTCTCAGACTGTATTCTGTTAGTATCAGAGTCTGAAACATTGTCAGGTATATGACTGGATTCATTTTGAATGAAGCAAATGAGTAAAACTGAAGTACATTTTTTCATTGTGTCCCACAGTGGCCCGGTATCTCATGACCTATTTTGACTGGCACCGGTCCCCGGACCGGGGGTTGCCGGGGGTTGGCAAACCCAAGTTTAAGTGATACTTTGTTTACTAGACAGCAGTAGACAATATTTTAGACAGTGATGTAAAAGCTTCTCTCACGTTTAAGTTTTTGTTTCTCACATAAATATTTGTTTCCTTTTAGTTTAAAATAGCCGTGTGTAAATGAGAAGAGAATTCAACTGTCAGTCAGTGTTTTCCTGCTTGGTTTTCTCACTGTGGTTTGGGCTGGGCTCACACCCTCCCCCCTCAAAATAAACCACAGATTTATGCAACCTGCAGTACATATGTACATATGTAACACTGCCTTCCAGTTACTGAAAACCATCCTTAAAAAAAGTATTGGTTACAATGCGCAGTATCGGTTCAGTGAGTACGCAAATTAAAATACTCATATTGCTTTTAGCTTGTAAAAACAAACAGTATCTGGTCAACCCTAGTCTATACTGTACTGTAATGGACAATCAGAGTGAAAGGTTATGTCATCCCTAGACAAAGTAAAAATGTAAGACGGAGCAGATCTGTAGGAAAATAGGAGAAAATGAAAAGGATCCTCAGGGTGAACTCAAATTAGATGCTTTTTGTTGATAGTTGAATAGACCAAATGCACCAGGAACCCTGAGGCAAACATCATTGACTGTTTGCCTTTTTTATAAACACACAGTGGCTTATAGTGCATGGCCTGTTTGCACTGTACTGTACTGTAGTCCAATGGACAACAGTACACAGGCTGGTATGATGAAAAAAAAAGGAAATATTTCAAATTTCTGCTATGACATTTGTTCGTGGTGAAGTTTGAAGAGTGAAAAATTCTAATTCACAGCACCAATTGTACTACGCTGTATGTGGCCTTACACTGGATTGTCTACGGTGGATCCCGCTCCCCGCTGGGGATTGGTCTGTGCTCTCCCTCCAACTGTGAATAGGAACAGAGTAGAGAGCAGAAGTTCTTTTTCTTGGTTTCCTTTTTTTGGTTCTCTTTTAAAAGACTATAACATCCCAAGATTGCAGCTTTAAGTGACCTTTGGACCAGGGGATTCCCAACCCCGGTCTGGGGACCGGTGCTGGTCCGTAGGTCATTTGGTACCTGGCCGCAGTGGGACACAGTGAAAAAATGTACTTTAGTTTTACTAATTTACTTCCAGTCATATCCCTTTACTTTTGTCATTTAAAGATAATCTGTCAATGTTTCAAAACAACAGGTCATTCAGACTCTGGTACTAACACAATAAAGTCTGAGAGATGTTTTGTTTAGAACATTTAATTACCCTTCAACAATGGTGCGGTATTACTGATCCGCAGTAACGGCTGATACGCCTTGGTATAAAAAAGGTTGCGGACCGCTGTTTAGATGACAACAAGATCAATGTTTCACTTATTACTAATTTATTTGTCTAACAGATTTTTTTCCTTCTCATTTACTCTGGTTTAATCGTTATTCTAAAGGTTTTACCTTCAGATTCTAAAGGTTTTAATTGCAACTAAGGTTAGTGCTGTCTGCAGTGACACACCAGTGATTCCTGCTCTGCATCGTTGACTTGTTCATTGTCAACAGGAAGTGAGTGTATTTTTAAATCACTACGTCTTCATTTTATGTTGTAATCTTTGAAACCCCTGTTTTGTTTTTTTGTCTTTTTGGAGTTGTACCACTAGATTAAATAGTGGACGCCTTTCATATTAAATTTAGCTCATTTTCAATCTGGACCCACCATTGTTATAGAGGCAATTTTGCAGCTCCATTAAGTCTTTTGGATAAAGCCAAAAAGCCACCCAAAGCAGTGTTTGCCTCGATTGTTATTAAAGATTCAGACTGAATGCAGACTTGACGGTTTGCATCCGAGCACATTAATACCCCCAAAGCCTTTTTAAATTAAATCCAACATCTAAATGTGAGTACCGACGTCTTCCTTCCTTCTGCGATGTGCACACTGTGACTCTCCTGTGTGGCTCCTCATATTTTTTAATATGCAATTTGCCATTTAACTCCTTTCCTCTCCTGTTTCTCTCTGGTTCCAGGCAATCGTCTCCTGTCAGTCTTTGCCACCAGGGCACATGACAACCATCTGTCTGAAAAGCCATCACAGGAAACATCTGCAGTGGGCCCGGCACACACACCTCTGCCACTCTAATGAAGTGGGAGATGACGGCGGCCCTCTGCGGAGCGGTGGGCTTGCTGAGCACCATCAGCTGAATCCACTGGGAGACGCTGTTGAAGAGCGTGATGAAACGCTCCAGTATGGGGTTATCCACCGTGCAGCCATGCATCACAAAGCTGTGATAGTCCTGAAACTAAGAGAAAGAAGAGGGGAAAAAAAGAATTGAGCAACATTACTCTTTAAACGTCAGTCGTTTCAAATTAACAGCATCAGTTTCATCAAAGCAGATTAATCACCGAAAAATCACAGTCAAACGGTGACTGACTCAATAAAACCTGACTGGCAACATGATCTAGGCTGCAGCTGATTGTTAGCTTAGCTTAGCGATGTCAGACTGTCATAAATAGGAAATAAACAACTGTTCCAAAGGTTGGGAAAAGTTGTCTACAAAGCTCTTTAAACAACTTTTCATTGCTGTGACGGCTCATGTGTCGAAGTAATGAGCAGCTCAGGTTGTTGGTCAGAGAATGGCCGTCTGAGTGTGGGTTTGAGTTCAATGTTTAACAGAAATGACCCTTACCCTAAAACTAAATGGAAATTCAAGCTAAATGATCCTCAATTAATTTTATTCTCTAAGTCAGTACATATATTTGCATCAAAACAAAGTGCTTTAGTGCTTTAGTTCTAACAACATCACTCTTTCTATCTCCGTCCAGTCTAACGATGAAAGTCCAGTCTGTCCTCATGTATTTATGGCCTAAGTTCGAAAACGTAAGAAGGTCTGCTCTACAGAAGCAGCTGACGCAGAGGAAACTAAATTTTAACGCACAAGTCGCTGGATGCAGTTGTGCTGTGTGTTCTTTGACCATCCAATCAAATCACTCAAACCACTAACATAACTATTAGCGAGCTAGAAGGAAGTGCCATTCATTTTAGGCTCCCAGCGCCTGCACCACTGATTCTGAAGGCCTTTGGGCAGATTTCCTTCAACACGACACATGAGGCTGAAATATGATTGGCTAAAATAAAACGCAACTGGAAGCAGCGCAACCTAGAGATAAGCTGAGAACAAGAGTGAATGATGAGAACGGAGTACTCTGTATTACTTGATAAACATTTATGATAAATGTATTGAAATACATCATCATTCTGTTCCTACTGTGAAGGTCAGCAGGGAGGGCTTTACAGTGGTACACCACTGCAGTACAGACAATAACTAGATGTACTGTATAGAACTACGGCATACTATACATTCTGCCTTAAAATCCATTACAATTTTCAGTATGATTAAAATGACTAATATGGCTAATATTATTGGCCATGGCTAAAAGTATTTATAAGAACACCGTGGCGATCACAGCCCACATCTTGTCCCCGACCACCATCACATTTGAATAAATTATCCAAAAAAAGCCCAATGGTGCGGTATTACTGATCCGCAGTAACGGCTGATACTAGCCGACCCGGCCTTGGTATAAAAAAGAAATATAATTACTGCCACTAAATGGCAACAACTTAGACTGCTTAGCAACTACTCAGAGCACATAAAATAAAATTAAAAGGAAAGGCTACAAAAATGTTAGTCACAGCTTTTATACTGTGGCCAAACTGACCAGGATTTTGCAGAAGGATTTGTATTCCAGGTAGGTCAGGTGCTCCGCCAGTTCACATGAGTCGAGGTGGTCGAAGAGGAGGGACATCTTCCTCTTTTTGGACATGGACGGGACACGCTGAGTCACCTGCCGCTTCCATTTATATGACGGCCTGCGGAAAAAACTCACACTGTTTTTAAAGGGTTTTTGTGGGGAAATAGTCAGACGGTCCCTGGACTTTCTTGCAATGGCGCATGTTGTATTTGGTAAAGTAAACATTTAACCCCTGGAATAGATTTTGATCAAATTTTATGTGCTTTTTACAGATACTACTCACTTTAGGACTGAAACTAAAGTAGATTTGAAACTCTTTGAGAGTAAACGCTCCTATAAAAGGCAACAAAAATGAAAAATATTCAACAATTGTCAGGCAAAGTTTGTTCTAACAGAGCGCTAGGGAGGTCACGCAGACAAGGCTTTTATTGGAAGAAGAGTAAACGCTGACCCTGCACAACTCAGGCTGAGATCAGGCTATTAAAAAAAAAAAAAAGACCACGCTGACGTCAACATCCACACACAGAAACGCTTCGTTAACACCGGTGACAGAGATCAGCTTTCAGCAGCCTCTCCACTCACACACTGTCGAGGTCAATGAGCTGACTCTGGCTCTCGTTGCCCTCGGTGGTCAAGAGGTCTTTGTAGTCTTTGATCTGGTCCGCCAGCTCTGGGTTCAGAGTGAACTCTGCTGGAAACTCGGAGATCCAGTACCTGTGAGGGAGAACAAAGGGTTTCAGAGAGAGAGAGGCAGGAAGAGAGTGTTGGAGTCCCAGTGAGATCCTCCTCACTGTCACTCAAAAAGTACTTCATGAGATTTCATCTGGAAATACAGTGGAAGCTTGGAATAAATCCTTTCCAGAGCTCATAAATCGAGGTGCTCGTAGCTCGAATCATGTTT